GCAACTATAAATACATATACACATACAATGCCACAAATCTTCTATGAGGAATTACAGTGGTGCCTCGCAAGATGATTTTAATTCGTTGCGCGAAAATCATCGTCTTGTGAAATAATCTTGTGAGGTTCCTTATGCATCGGTCTCAAAAAAAAAAACTTGCGAAATTTGCGAAGCATCGGTCTAAAAAAAAGTCTTGCGAAGCATGGTCATAGAAAAAAAGTCTTGCGAGGCACCATAGTGATAGCAAGAACCAATTGTCTTGTGGGTTTTCGTCCCATGAGGCAATCGTCTAGTGAGGCACCACAGTAGTTTAGAGTGCTGGCAAGACAAGATCAGTTCTCTTTTCTCCTCCAGCAGCCCACTTGATGGGGGGGGGAGGGAAAGCGTAGAAAAGGACAAGTCAGGGGGAAGAAGAGGGAGAAGGAAAGAAGGACGGAAAATGGTTCACCCTATCCACTGTTGGCTTTGGGCTGCACACAGTCTCCAAGTATAACATAGTTTGTTATTGTTCTTTTTACTTGGACTCTAATTTCTCTGCACTATTGACATCTGTGCACGCCTGAGGAAGTGAACTGTAATCCATGAAAATTAGCAGATTGTATGATTTTTAAGTGACCTAATAAAGGTATCAACTGTGTAATGACCGCATACAGCTCTCTTCAGTTTTTTTGGAAATTATGAAGGTACCAGGAAAAGCTGCCCAGTACAGCCTCACAAAGACAACATGCACTTTTAACATCAGCCAAGCAGGACTACAAACTGAAGGAAACACCTACATCCAGCCACTAGGTAATAACATTGTTAATTTGGCTATAATTTGGCTCCAGTTGGCTCTAGTGGGTCAACTAAATTTTCACCTCAGTTCCCAGATGGAGGACTCTAAGTATTTTTGCATTGCCTTGTTCTCTAGCCAAATAAATACTTGTAGTTTTAAAAAACCACATGGGTGTGGGGGTGCCATTCCAAAGGTTGCTAAGCCACATGGGTGTTGTAGTGTAGAGAAAACTCTCCTAGCATCCTGTGGCTGTTTCTGAGGGGAGGAGCTGCCACCATTCTTCCTCTTTCTCATTATCATAGAGAGCCTGCCATAGAGGCCTTTCCTTAGGCCAATCAGAGGGCTTGATTAATTGCCTTTCCCCAGACCAACCCTAATAACATGATGTAACCATTGTCCTATCTGAACCCTGTTTACTATCTGTAATGCTGTCACCAACTGTGACCTTGTAATGTTAATAAAAGAGCAGTCTCCTGGGGCAGGGCAGACGGGGAGAGAGAGAGAGAGAGACGGACAGAGAGAGAGAGCTAGAAGAAGCCAGATGACTTCTCATTCTGCTTCCTTGCTGTGTCACCCACCAGGAGTACTGCTGGCAAACATCCATCTGTGTGTGTGGCTGACTTCTTTAATTTATTGCTAAGAGACTCTTTGCTATCCTATTATCCATTATCTGGTGATCACCACAAAGCCCATCAGCCTGCTCATTGCCTGAACCCAACACACGGGTATGTAGGCATCCTTCAGTCTCAAGAGACTATTGTAACGTGCTCTGAACAGAGGTCTTGGAACTAGTGTGGCTGAGAAGGCCAATAGGAGAGTAACAATCCCTTCCACTCTGAAGACAAATACAATCTGTCCCCTGTCCAGCTCCC